TGAGTTAGATGATCCAGACTTCAGGCCCATTCACATCAAGCATAATAACTATAAATATAACACTATAATGAACGATAGCGATGTTTATTTTATTTATTGCCCCTCGGAACCAGCAGAGGCCTTTAGGCCCCGTTTACACTAGTGCGTTTTAGTTTTAAAACGGCGTTGTAGAATGAAAACGATCCGCGTCTACACTCGAGTTTTACCCAGCGTTTCTGAACAGCTCTCCGTCCACACCAAAACGCTGAAAACGCACATCACGTGACCACACACACACTTTCTTGCAAGCGCTCCAGCATTTCTACCCAGATGAGAGCTCTGCTTGTCGGACTGCTCATCAAGCATCGCCCGCTGGATCTAATCTCACTATATTTGCTAAACGTGATATTTCATTCATGTTGTTGTCTTTATCTAACGACATAGGCCAATTCCCTGACTTTGGTCATTGGAATCTATTAAGTTACTTGTTCACGGGTAACATGTTTTGGTTAAGCGCAAAGATAAGTTAATGATTAATCCAGGTACATTGACTGATCGCTTGCCTTTATTTCCTACAATGTATAAACTTATTGTATGTTATACTTTTATAATTATCGATTATTAAAACTGATATTCAGCAAAAGAGAGGGTGCGTTTCGTATTTTCACTGAAATTGAAAGGAGGCAGTTGTTATCGGCTCCGTTTTGTTATAAATATCCACACAGTGAAGATGACGCTCATATATGCAGCACGGCGCCTCAACATTTCTGCTGTCTGTTAAGTTGCTAATATTAAAAAGAAAATAGGCAGTTCCTTAAATCATGTTTACATTTTATTGTTGAGAAAGTGAAACAACGTAGCCAAGGTGATGTGAATGAAGTTATAAAGTACACTGTTCCCTTTGAAGATTTACCCGTGTCCTCGGTATGTTTTTCATATCAAACTGAGAAGGGGGAGACTGCAGCCTTGATCAAACTTGCGAAGTCTTAACTTACAAGAAGAGGATGCGAGACTGAACTGTGTGTAGGCTACTTAATATTGAGAAAAAGCCCCAATCAGAGAGGCGAACGTTTGCAGCCCCTCCTCCGTTTTCAGATGTCTCCGTCTTTCCCCATCCACACTGAGACGGAGCAGCAGCGTTTTAGAATGAAAACGGCCTTTCCAGCGTTTTCAAAAAGCTCCGTTTTCGGCGCTCGAGAACTCCGGCGTAGTGTGGACGGATGGCGTAACCGTAGCAAAACTTATGCGTTTTCAAACTAAAACGCACTAGTGTAAACGGGGCCTTAGTGTGCTACTAGCACATCTAACCATTAAATCTAGCTTGTGTAATTTGTGTAATCTAATCAAACAGTGAATTTAGCAATCGCAGTCAGTGCACTGCAGTGGGATGAAAACTACACAAATTATTTTCCCACAACAGAGGCAACACAAAGACACTGAAACTAGCACTGGATAACAGAGCTACTTTTATTTTTCTACTTCAATTTGCCAGCCTGGCTCGCATAACTTCCATGTATTTTTTTATCATTATATCCCCAGTATGACTAATTGATTTTAAGATAGTCATTCTTTTTAAATAATCTTCGAAAAGACTTAACATCAGGTAGAGCTTCTTCACAATGTCATCTATAGCTTTAAGTTGTTTAAGCCCTTTATATTTCAATGGATTCTCCACAGCAGTCAGTGTTTTGGCATTAATTAGCTGTGAACAAATCGTTCTGAAAGTGATCCCAATAATCTTGTTTGCTTTATTGTTATAGCTGTGGTCTGAACTGTGCTGTTTATTAGATTATTAGAAGTATTATTAAAACTATATCTTCATCGTTATAGTTATAGTTGTGCATGGTGTGAACAGACCTTTAAAGTTTCAGACAGACATTATAAATCCGTTCAAAAAAAGCAAAGACATTAAAGATCTGTATTTGCCACTTACTTCCAGCTATATTGTTTTCAACTGAGGGAGGCACTGTAGGCAGCTTGGGTTCAATGATAGATGATGCGGCTGGAGGAACCACAGGAACTACAGGAACGCCGGGAACGTAGTAAGGTTGATACATGGTGATCTGAGGAGGTTGGCCACTCTTTGCCATCTTCCCTGCTTCATATACTGAGAATACAAAAAATATATACTTTTTTTTTCTTCAGGTTGTGAATATGTGTATGTATGTATGTGTGTGCTTGTGTACTCACAATGTTTTGGACAGCAGCATGTATCCGGACAGCAGCAGCAGCGCACATAACAACAACAGGAGTGAGGGCAACACTGGCACCAGCAGATCCCAACCAACAACAGGAAGAGGATGCTACCAACAACCACAACTCCCACAAATGCCCACTCTGAAAGGAAGACAAGAAAGACTCATCAGGAAACAAGATTTCCTGCACAAACGCAGATCCTAAAGGAAATGCTGTGCTTAAATCATGTTTGCCCACAGGATGTGAAGTGTCTGATGCTGACCAATCACAGGGGAGAGTGTGAATGAATGATGCGGATCCTCTTATCTGGACTCTCTACAGGCCTAATGATGAATTTCCTCTGGGTGTGGTGGTAAATTCCAGCAGTATACAAACCACATAGTCAACACTGATACTCCTCATTCTCAAGAAGAGAATTTTATCTCTGTGTTATTAACATGACATGTTCAGATTGCCTTTTGGAAGTATAGTGCAAAGTAACATTATTAAGTTGGAGTGAAATACCAGGGTGGAGTATTATTACAAACTACTAAAATATCCATCAGACTGACTCAAATAGTAACTCCTCCAACAGTTTTATTTGCTCCATTCCAAAAAATAAATCTGCCTCTAAAGTGTATTTCAGAGTGAGAACAATCATGGACGCCATATAGAAAGGCCATTCCAAAACAAATTGCGGTCATCATTCTTTTGGCATGTTTAATTTGTGATGCTCAAGTGTAAGTTTTCTTACTTCCGTTTTACCCTGGACCCATCATCCCTTCAAAGCTCTCAACATAGAAGAGTAAACCATTGGTAGGGATTATAGCAGATTTTAGCTACCTTGAAGTTCTTGAGTGAGAATTAAGACCTTGATTTGCTGGTTCAAGTGTGATTAAAACATTAAACTCTGCAGTATAGCAGGCATCTGGGCACAGGTTTGGGCACCCCGTTAGAATTGGACACAGCCCTTAGTTCTTTTGGATGGTTTATTACATTGTTTTATAGACGCTAGGACACAATTCTCAATACTTAGGTCACTTATGCAAAACTCTTCACACAATTCTCCTAACCGACTTTCAGCTTGACAAAGCAGTTTATTTCACATTTAAAATGCAATACAACTACCAAAACACTTTATTCAGGTCTCAAATTAACTCATTCTTCCAAAACACTAGCAAAGGTTGACAGCTGACAAACACACTTTTGTCACCCACAAAACAATGACCTAAAAAACACTAGCAACATGTAGCAATACACAGTGTTTTCTTGTGTAAAACAAGGACACATCTCTGTTTATAATTGCAATATATATATTGATTATTACCGCAATGCATGTTACTGAAATGAATCTGACATGATGCAGGTCAATATTTTATGTTGTTTATTTATTTTAATTTTAATTAAGTCATTCCAAAATACAAGAATTTGTATACACATCATCCACTGATACAGATAAAATAGTAATGCTAATCTGGCAGGTTAAACTGCATTTTTAGATTTAAAATATTTCAATTAAACATTGCTGTTGAATTTTGCTGTCTTATTCAGTTTTACATTTTGTTATTGTTTTGAATATAAGTTTAACAGTATGTAAGCACGTGCAAAATGTCCTGTTATATAGTTGTTCTCACTGTGTAAAGGGTTGTGCAAAAGTGGCCTATTGGGAAATGTGTCCTAGCGTCTGTAAGAAACTGTAAAAGGATCAGCTCAAATTAAACTTGGGTTTTTTGCCAGACGTTGATTTACTAAAAAACTCACTTCAAAACTTCATTGAATAGAAGTCAAATACAGACAAAAAACCTCTTCTTTAATCATGTTTGGTGGCATAGAAACCTAAGTAATGAGCATCTGTGTGTGAGTGGCATGATGCAATGCATCAACTCTATAGCTCCAATTATAATTTATAAAGCTGTGCTTAAGGCAAGTAGCTTAGATTTTAAAAAACTGCATGCAATATTGACTAGCATGCTATACAAGTGAAATTCTCTACAGTAATTATCACGCAGTACATATAATCTGCAGTAAAATTACACAACTCTGATCACTAGCTAATTTTCCATCCAAAGATTTGGAAATTCTTGCGCAAAACTGGAATATTGCATAAAAGATTTGAGAGCAATTCTGCCTTCCCATCCAATGGGTCAAAATAACTTGTAACTTCCTCAATAAACTGGTGGCAAATATCAAAAATAAAAATGGAATTGGCTGAGGTACGAGCAGCTGCGTGAGTCTTTTTCTTATATAATAAATTACCTCAAGAGGACAAATTGCAATGAACTCATGGTGATTTTTAGAGCTGTGAGATGCTCTTTAGGAGCACAGATGCTCAAAATAGTTCTGGAGGTAATAATAACAATCATAACACTGAACCACTAGAGTTTGCCCATTAAGGCTATTTTTATCATCACATGATCTCTTATAACAGTCACATGACATTTTTAATGTGCATACTAGAATTTGTAAGCACATTAAACTGTAGTTTATGTGCATCTTTTCTTATCAGATAAAAATTTATCCAACTTAGTTTTGTTGCGCATTTTCAAAAAATTTGTGCATCTTGGTGTTTCTGTCCAGGGTTTTATATGCGATGTTCCAAAATGTGCATAAAAGTAGGTGGATAGAAACAGCTAATGATAAGTCCTGAAATTTGTATTTATCTTTTCTTTTCCAGAGGGAACAGAACAGATACAGCATTAAGGAGTTTGCTGATTACAGTAGAGGAGATAAAGCAGGTCAAATGAAAAGGACCTGTGTGAGAGCACCCAGTGAAAAGTAAGGGGGAAGAGAGAAAGAGAGAGAGAGAGAAAGAGGTATGGCAGGCGTACCTGGCATAATCTCCAAATCAAACTCAGGCAGGATGTCATCCAGCACACCTGTCCTACCTGGAGAAGGGAGAAGATCAGACATGAACAGCAGCAGCGAGAGGCAGGTGAAAGTCCAAAGTTTAAGGTCGTGGGTAAAAGCTCTTGTGTGTTATTAAGGAAAAGTTACTCTGTTAGTGGCTGTGAATGAATCAAAAGTAAAAGCTGCTTTAAGTTGATTTATAATTTTAAACATTGGTCTTTTTGTTAAAAAGGTATTTCTGTATACGACTAACAACAACTGGTTGTATTATATGCATGCATTCGTTCAGTATTTATATCTGGCCTAAGCAGCACAGATCAGGTTCATGAACAGAGAGAGTGGGAAAGAGATAAAGTAGAGGGGCTTCAGCAGGGGGAGACAGTGGAGGAACATCAGAGATTAATTAATCACATGGCCTCATTAAACTCCCTCAAAGGGGGGCCAGGGTACGTCATCACCATGGAGACAGTGTTGGCATTGTTTGAAATTAAAAGGTGTCCCAGACAACTGTCCAATTACCTTTCAACAAAGATCTTCCCTGGGTGGGAAATGAATGGTTGGCCTTAGAGGTACAGACAATATATTTTCACAATACTGGGCACACCACCAACAATGCAGAGTGTTCTCACCATATAAACTTGCATTTGTATTTTGCACAAGACTTGAAAATGAATGTGCAAATTATATAATTCATGATGTAAAGGCTACAGGAGACAGTTAGCATGAAAAGTAAATTCACCCTGTTTTTTATATGCATGGTATTGATCTTTTTTGAACAATGTGACGTTACTATCGACACATGCCTGATTTCTTGAATTTTTTAATTCATTTAAACTCACAACCATCGACCAATGAACAGAACCTTAATTCCTGCCTTACTGGCATTTTATTGCAACTTTACAAGTTTTTATAAAGCCGCAGGTCAATCATTTACAAATCTGCCCACTGTCATAGCAGATTTATCCCTGAGTGACAGGAAATAGAAAAATAATATCCACCTCCACCTTCTTTACTCCTCCATTAGTCATTAACCAGATGTAACCTGAGAGTAAAGGGGCACCTCACTAAGGGAGTTGAGGACGTGAAGTGCAAGACATGCAGAAGACAAGCCCCGCGTTGTTATGAGACTTAAAGGGATAGGTCACCCAAAAACTAATTTTATTACTCTGGTAATTTTATTAGTAAAGTTTCTAAAAAACTGTTTCACGGTTTCACTGTATCACAGTATTGTGATTACTGCTCTAAAATAAGCTCTTTTTAAATGTCTGGGTAAAAAAAAATAAAAACTTTCCCAATTTAACAAAATACATTTTATTTTAGAAAACATTTATAATATTTTGTAGCAGTAAACATATCAGGCTAATGAATTAAAATAAATGATTGGCTTCTGCTCTCTTCATTAGTTTCAAAAACACAGATTACTTTACATTTAAAAAACACATTAAAAAATCTTCTATATACCTCAGACTTTAGAAAACCTTGACTTTTCCAAACCGCGGTAAACCTTGAAACCGGTTATCTTCCCAAGCCTACTTCTATAGAATTTAAAACTGTATTTGTTATCTAAAAGTGTACTATTAGGTGAACTATCCTTTAAAGTCAATCCCTACAACAGTATACAGTATACTACAACCTGTTGTGTTCTGCTAAACTATTATCATGTTGGTGAAAATTTATAATAAGAAAGCAAATGTGGTTCAAATTCACAGCTAAAGGGAATAGGATTCAAAATAAACAAAGCTCAAAAACAGTCGAACAAATTGCCGTTTGCATCAGATTTTTGTAAGATAATTTTTCAGATTTTTGAAGACTTAGAGGACTAGTGTGTTTTCTTTGCTGCAGCACTTTGTTTTAAAGTGAAATAAGCAGACATAATTATATGTAGTCAGATAAAAAATGTATTACAATTAGATTACAATATGCTTTAAAATGATCATAATTAAATTAGTTACTTAAATATTATAAGATAACATCCACGATTCTTCCTTTTCTCTTTAAAATGTTTAATATGTATACATGGTTTTCTTTTAAAAGTATCTAAAAGTAATCCAAGAGTAGTCCGAATACATTACATTACTTTTCTATTGACAAGAACCAATTGTAACGCCTCTGTAATTCATAAACAAAGGAAACCAAAGTGTTGCCCTCATAACTCTAAAGTGACCTGTATCGTATTTCATACAAGCGTTTCTGAGAGTTCTACATTATCAAAATGAAACAAATAAAAATGTCCTACTACATAAGCAAAATAATTAGCATTAGAATAATCACATTTAAATCTATTTAGTATAACAGGTTGTTTTACCCCAAATTAAAAACTATATTTCTCTTTCATACTTCTTTTTTATACAAAATATATTTGGGAGAATGATGTAGGGTTTTTTCTATTATGAACTACCAACATTCTTTAAATTATCCTCTTGTCTTCTAGCAGTACAAAAAAACCTTTAAACTATTCCTTTAAATAGTGCTGGTATTTAAATGATGATCCTAATCTTAAATTATAATGAATTATTTGGCTTTCCCGACTTCATCCACCACCAACGAGCAAGAGCTAAACTCAAAGTAAAACATGACTACTCAGCAAGTGTGATAAAATAGGGAGTGTCTAGTTCAAAGTCAAACATTTACAAACATATACTCCTGATTATCCCTGCTTCATGAGCCAATTAAATCTTGATTACTTAGAGCGAACGGATGACTTCCTTTTATCATCTACATACAGTAACACCGTTGTTAATTCTGAACAGTGTGTAAGCTCTAACCCTCTTGTGTTTTTTTCTCTTCACTGCTCAGGACTGCACTGGAGGCCCTGGCATCCTCGGGCCCCTGAAACCCCCTTTGTTGCTATGGAAACGGCTTAAGAAGTGGCTTATATTGCTCATGTTGATAACGGCCAGTTATTTACTCTTTGTCTGGCATGAGGCGTCTGACTTTGCTTTGTCCAGTTGACACACAAATAACTTATTCTGTTAGAGTCTGTTCCACAGCACCAAGCATATTGTTTCTCTCCCCAGTGATCCTGTCCAGGATGTGTGAAATATGTGAGGTTGTCTTGATATGCTGGGGCACAAATGAACAATAGCGTCTCTTATTAAGGATCTGAGCCCTGTCGAGAGGCATGCGCCGTTTGCTCGTCACTATGGTAGCACTTGTAAGTGCACTGAGGAATTCAGACCGGGACTGGAATTAACAATCATTTAGACACAATAACAAAGCAAGCACATACTAAAGTAAACACTTTCTAAAGAGGAATTTCTATAAATAATCTCAGAAATGGAGTCCGGAGAGCACAGCATTCACTGACACTTTTTGAACACTTTTAGCAGTTTCAACATGCCATACACGCTTGTTTGTTTATGAGACTCACCCTGCACCAGCAGCTCAACTTGGCCTTCATTTTTTCCTTCCAGGTCATCAGAAATGATCACCTTACAGAAATACACACCGCTGTCGCCCCACTGCAGCTGTCCAATGTGCAGATCTGCTTCTGAAATGGTTAGAAAACATTATGCTATTGTATTAATCCTAAGCCTAGGGAAATTCATGTTCACTGTAAAAACTGATAAGTTAGTTTGCTTTAAACAGTGAGTTTGTGCCTGTTGCCTTAAAAGCATTGAGTTGACCTAAACTCATTATTATTTGGAACTGTTAGGGTGACTATATATTTATTTATGCACTTAGTTCATTAACTTATTAATTTTAAGCCAATGGATTCACTTACATTTTAAGTAAAGTCATGTAATTCCTTGAAAAGCAACAAGTTTACTCACTTTTTTAAGTAAAGACAAGGTTTGTTTGATATGTTTAATTAGTTTACAACAAATTTATTTCAGCTTTTTTGCTTAATTGCTTTCAGTTTCACAAACATGACACTAAAAACTGAAAACTTTTTTTGTTTGTTTTTTGTTCTGCCTATAGGAATGCTTGAGTACCATAATATGGCCAACATGTCTTCTAACCATTATGACCACATGCAGTTGAAGTCAGAATTATTCGCCCCCCTGTTTATTTTTTCCCCAGTTTCTGTTTAATAGAGTGAAGATTTTTTTTCAGTACATTTTTTAAACGTAATAGTTTTAATAACTGATTTATTTTATCTTTGCCATGATCACACTAAATAATACTTGACTAGATATTTTTCAAGACACTACTATACAGCTTAAAGTAACATTTAAACTAGGCTTAACTAGGTTAATTAGGTTAACTAGACAGGTAAGGGTAAATAGGCAGGTCATTGTATAACAATGGCTTGTTCTACTGACAATCTAAACAATATATAGCTTAAAGGGGCTATTAATTTTGACCTTAAAATGGTTTTAAAAAAATTAACAACTGCTTTTATTCTAGCCGAAATAAAATAAATAAGACTTTCTCCAGAGGAAAAAATATTATCAGACACACTGTGAAAATTTCCTTGCATTGTTAAACCTAATTTGGGAAATATTTAAAAAAGAAAAAAAAAATCTAAGGGGGGCTAATAATTCTGACTTCAACTGTATATACTTTTCCATTTTGTAATGCCAGGACACACAAAGCTGACATCAAAGATCTATTGGCAAGACAGCGACAAAAACCAATAATATTGTGACCTTGAGTCGGCTGCGTCCTAGTCCTGTCTGAACCAAAAAACACACCAAATAAATGACAGCGGACTGAAACAAGAATGTGCATTCTGCGAATCTTTCCACACCCGCAGGTGGCAGTAGTATTGACTGTATTGTCATTCCACAAAGGGAAACTGGAATTCGCTGCACAAATTCAAGCCATAAAAAATGTTTATTTCGTGCCGTTTTCACAGTATTTCTCGCACATCCAAATATGTATGATAATACATTTCATTTATAAATATTTAAGAAATGCCAACTGGCTTCTTTGTGTTCCCTCTTGACTTACACCATTTGCTTATTTTGGTAACTTTAGTTTTGTTTTTTCTGGACAGCTAATCAGAGCACTCTCTTTCACTGACAGCCAATGACGGTTCTACATGTTAACTCAGACAAACTCCCTCGGACATGAGCACAAAGAGAAGCGACATGTGGAATATACCAAACAAACTAGCCTGACAGATGCTCATCGAGATCCTGATGCTGCCCAGCGTCAACCATCGGCTTGGTGTGTCCTATAAACTTATATATAATAGTGCCCTGCCACAAACAATAAACTTTCATATAAATGCACAGTACCCTTTCATCTATAAAAAAAGAAAAACATTTAGATCAATTGCCACACTAATTGTGAATGGTGCAAATACTGAACATAAAATAATGCATCACACTGTAAAATTTAAATACTCCCATGCCATATTTTTACATCTGAAACGAAAACTTCTGCAACTGCACATGCAATAAGGTAATTCACAAACATAACTGGCTTTGCATTTTTGCCACAAACTTCTCATTCTTTGAAAACTGTCCATACTTTTTTTTAAAGGGGGTTTGGAACTGGCACAAGCTCTTAGTAAATGTGTGCCTTAATGTTTCTAATCAGAAAACACAACACATCACTCATACTCATTATCTATGTGTAATATTTTGCCTGAACAATCATAGTCTTTGTTGGAGAGGTGGCTGGAGGAGGGAGAGCTTTGATGGCTAAAGTCAGAGGAGAGGGTGTTTGCTTTTGATAAGGAAAGCTGTGGGGGTGTTTTGTGAAACCTTTATGAGGTCCATCCCCCTGACCATTGTGCGACCTAGAAAAAAACAACCCTATTTAAGGAACAGGAAAACACAGCACAATCGACTGGGTTTCCTAAGGGGCAGATGAATTACACACAAGATTGCAGACTGGAGCGTAGAAGAGGCTCAAAATTTAATAACAATGTAACAAGATGAGTTTATTACACAGTGGCCCCGAGAAGTATTTGAACCATTAAGCCACAGACTAAATATCATTTTATGAATTCCATTGAATTAAATTAGGCTGGGGCTTTTCTCAGAACCAATGTGATTTTTCTTGTCATTGCCATTTTGCAATTATTTTAACCACCTGATCCCTGGGCCATGTTTGTGTATGTATGAAGTCATTTCTCCCCATGAGCTCACTGTGTAACCCCAGGTGTGGTTTATTGTTTAGTATATACAGCAATCATGCTGTTTAAAAGTGTGCAGTCGGAAGATACATTTTTATAATCATTTCTTTTTCTCAGAATAAATAATAAAAAGACTGTAGAATAATACATTTCTGTTATGAACGCTCTCTGGATTTAGTATGGTAATGAATATTTATATGGCAATGTTGATGTGTTTAGTCTTAGATCTGCTATTATATGGCAGAGCAACAGAGACCTGCTACTGCCAGTATATACACAGACATATCATCTGAAAATATAACGCTGCTCCTGTAAACATAATTTATGTAACCCCCATAGCAGATCCAACACTGGTGGAGCTGGGGTGGAGGAGGGTCTCTGTAAACGTGCTGCAGCTTAACAGCGTAATACAACATGGAGCATTTATACTGATGAGGAGCAAGCTCGTTGGCTTCCGAGGTGGAGGCAACCGATGTCCTGCACCATGTACTTAATGACGCAGGAGCAGATTAGGCGACCTATCAGCCTGTGCGCTCATAGAGTTTCATGGCAGAAATTTCTCTTACTGTAGAATGTTTCAAAATATCCATTCCATTTCAAACTGATTATGTTCTTTTGAATGTTTTTTGAATCCAAAGAGGGAATGGGGGCATGTTCAACAAAAATCATTATGCACCATACATTTAAAATAATTGTTAATAAATTCTTCAGCACCTGTCACAATCAACTACAATTCTGCCACCGTATGAACTACAACTCCCTTCAGGCACCACATACACACCTGTCCTAGTTCTCCATTGATTACACACACACAGCTGGGAGCTACTCAAGACTCATTACATGGACCCTATCAGTGATTAACCCTTGCCAAAGACTATTGACCTTATTCTAAAATGCGGAAGTGCGCCTGTTTTTGCGATTGTCTTAGAACTTCCGATTCAGTCGCCTATGGGAGAAATGACTAGGAATAATAAACGGCAGAAAACGGTCAAACTACTTGCTCTACAAACAAATGTTTGCATGACTATACAGACCAAGTAGAATAATATAATAAGAAAATATCAAATTGCAACATCAAGCAGCGTAATGAGCAGTTTTTAAAGTCAAAAAATGAATGGAAGTGAATGAGACCGGAAGTCTCAAGCCAAAAAGATTCAAATGGCAGCGCCCACTCATCGACGGAGAATAAGGTGAATAAAAAACGCAAGACGTGTCGCTTTTAGTTTTGAATGGGGAAAAGTGTAAGGGTCAATATGAAGCCCTGCCTACTAGTATAGAAGCCAATAATCAATCGATATTGACTGACGTTTCTCAGGGGGAAAAGCTCAGAACAGACGTGTGCTTTTATGACAGTTAGGCGGTCAACAAACATGCTGTAATCTCGGCGAATACTTGCTTCACAGACATACGAAATATATCGCATAAAGCTTGAAATCTGTTCTTTTAAATTAACCAAATGGACTTGGTTCAATTAACGGTGGACTTGGTGGAATCTGTATGAAAAGAACGCGAAGGACTGTCCATCCTGTCCAATGCACATCACATGACAGCAATTACTCAAACGCCCACAAACTTATTAACAAAGAGTGGCTGTCATTTCTGAAGGAGATTTGCCATCAAGACCAAGTTGTGAGCTACTTCAGAAGACCAGCGTGATCAGACGATCATTATTCAGAAGATGATAATGTGTACAACGGCCATAAATGATGTTGGTGTCGTGATCTTGTTTCCATTCTAGTGCGCATGCGCATTAGCTTGGGCAGCCTGAAAGTATGCAGATTTTGTTTGTTTCGAACGTTTAGTAACAAAATTTATGAGACAGATGTTGTTCAGTTTTATTGGTGGTTCTAAATATGTAATGTAATTATAAGCTTGGCAAACTGTTTTGGAGAATTTGATGTTTCCCCATTCAGACAGAATGCCTGAAAAGCGTTTCAAAGATAGCCGCCGAGTGAAATAACTTGCCTTAAAGGGACTTTGACCTTGCCTAGTTTCCTTGTTTTAGTTGTATGCTGCCTGTATCAACCTTTTGCAAGTGACCTGACTATGCTTTTGGATTGTCCTCATGCTTCTGTTTGTTCCTGTTGACCATTGCCTGCCTGACTAAGCTTTCAATAAACTGCACGTGGATCCTCAACTCCATTATTCGCCATCCCTGTGTTAAAGCACCACATCAGCATGTTAGAATGATTTTTTAAGGCTCATGCCACTGATGACTGGATATAATAATATTAATAATTGTTCATAATATTGCTTTTTATATTAAAACCAAACCCAAACCTTTTAACAGCATTGTAACTTTGACTATAAAAATGTGTCCAATCAATTTATTTTCACTGTTTAAAATCACTGAAAAATCTCTAGGAGAAAGTACAGTAAGCTTGCATCCTTCTTTAAAAAATCCACTTACAGAGCTCAGCATAATTGAGGACACCCCATTTTGAAAATGAGATTTTTTATCCATTTCTCAGTGAATATGTTCAATGTATTTTGTGGTAATTAAACAAAATAGATTTATTAAACAGATATATTTATTAAAATAATATTTTAGTCACCAAACATATTTAGAAATTGAAAGATAATTGATTAAATATCAAGCTAAATATTGCAAAAATATATTGCAACCTACAAAATTTCAACTTAAGATTTCCTTTTTTTGCTTCTTTTGATTTTTCCTCTTTTTTAATATTTTTCTATAATATATATTTGGGTGTACTAGTTTTTGGGCGTTATCATTGCTTATTCTTTAGATAAGCTCCAGATTTCACTTTAGTACTGACTAATCTAATGTACAGTAAATGCACATATAATATGGTATAGCTTCCTATTAAACATATGAATTTAAAATTTAGATTTGTGAGAAGTGTACTCATATATGCTAAAATTTGGAATTTAATTTCTAATGCATATTAATGAATTCATGCATAATCATGTTAAGCTTAAATAGCCAAGATATTACTGGCCATTAAATGTTTCATAAATCCTTCTAATCATTAAGTTACAAAAAATCAACTACTATGGTGCAGATTTGTTTGCATTTTTTACTATTTTTATAAAGACTAACCTACAGAGTTGACTTGTTAATCAATGACCAAGGATATCCTGGTTGTGAGTCATTAAGTTGGAATTACACTTCTCAACTGACTAATGCTGCCTTTAAAGTGCCACTTCTGTTTTATGATCAGATTCATTATATTCGTTAACATTTGACCAAACTTCACATCCAATCTCGCTAATCCTTCTCCTGCAAAAACACTCAGTTCTCAGAGTAAGACAGCCGGGACACATTACTGTTAATGATGGAGATGTCTCTTCCTTTGTAGTGCTCTGCTAAGGTCATGGAAGCTCCCTGTCCTGAGGCCACTATGCGGACCGTGCGGCTGTTGTCTGAGCAGTCCCGATGAGACGATGCTCCCAGATCAGATACATGGACTCCCAGGGACTCAGGAAAGGTGAAGGAATCTCGAGTGCGGTCTGTGCAGTAGGACTTGTACCACCATTGCACCACAGCGGTTTGAGTGGAGTGGGTGGTGTAATGACATGGTAGAACGATGGAGGAGAACAGCATGGCAAACTTCTTCTCATCTTTAACGACCACCTGTACGCCATCACAACTTTGCACTGTGCCAAAGAAAGAGAGAGAGAAAAAGGTGAGGTGAAAAACACTAAACATTTCTGTAAAAGTAAACATAAGACTGGAATACAATACACAGTTGTCAAGTCAGTTTGAAGAGTCAAACTCTGACATAATCTAAATCAAGGGTCCCCAAACCTTTCGTATAAGGGGCCAAAAACTAAATATCATTGAGAGCCGTTGGCCAAAAATAACAATACCAAATAATTTCACATTAAATTTGCCATAGGTAATTTCTTAATTGACTTTATAATATTCAAAAATAAATAGAAACACTCATTCATTTACATTGATAAAATAATGAAGTATAATTGTTTTAATTATAACTAGGGCCAGACGGAATCTGCAGACGTTTTTTTGCTATTTCTGCAGAGAATTGTGCAGGTTCCATGTGGGCCTAATTATAACTTATTGGAATAAAAACAATCACATTTAAAACACAGTGGAGTTCAATACACTAATCAAGCAGAATTCCATCCTTTATCCGTCAGGTGACAGTATAAACATTTAAACCAAATCTGATTGATTGACACCATTTAAATTAAATTTAATTTCAGTAAGTTTTTTGTCACTTAACAACAAACAAACAAATAAAAGGTTACATTCAATTTGAAATGGCAATCTCTAAACCATCCCCACCATTCTCCCTCTCTTCTTAAATAGGATGGCCAAATCAAAGGTTACCATGTGCCGACTTCGCCCCGTGGGCTCTAGTTTAGGCATCTCTGATCAAAAATAAATTTCAGCATGAAAAGTGTTTGCCCCTTGATGGTATTTATGCCTATTTGCATTATTATGCTTTTGTATAATCATTATATAATAATCAGTGGGGGCTGAGGTCGCTGGGTTTGTTGGCATGTCTGTGAGTAGTTTGCATGTTTTCCTCCTTGTGTTTGCGTGGGATTCCCTTCGGGTGCTCCAGTTTCCCCCACAGTCCAAAGACATACGCTCTATAGGTGAATTTGATAAACTAAATTGATAATAAATAAAAGGACTAAGCCGAAGCAAAACCAATGAATGAATAATAAACAGTGGCTTCAATTCTCTTAAAATGGTAATAAAATCACTCATCGCAATCATTTCTGTGACAATATATCACACACCAAAAATTATTTATCATGACCGGCCAAAACGCATTAGTTTACTTTGTTGTGTTCTGTGATTGCTAGTATACAGTATCTCTAACCATTTATAAAGACGTTAAATGTATGATGAATTGTTTCAGAATCTCTTCTGACTTTAAAAGTTTTGCTGTTTTTTCAAGCCTTTTTGTAGAATAGCAGAGGGTGCGCTGAGAAAAGCAGAAATTGAAAAAGCTATATTTGTTTTGCAAATTTTGAACAAAAACAAATCTATCTAGTTGTTCATAGAACCGTTAGCACAGGACCTGTTAGCACATAAAACCATTAGTTTTACCTTTATAATATTATTATTTGTATTTATATATATATATATATATATATATATATATTTACAACAAATGCTGTAAAATCAAATTACAGATCTATGTAGATGTTGGTTAGTTACTGATAAGCACATATTTGTTTTGTGAGAACTTGGGAAACAGACTAAAGGTTAAGCATGACGACATTACAATTTGTGTAAAACATTAAGATACTTTATTAGAACAATTTGATTTTCTTTCTGCATTTTGTAGATGTACAATATGATTTCTTTAGTGTCACGATAATGTATGTGTATGTTTTTGGATATTAAAATTTGCGTAGTAGACAAACTATCAGTATTTTCATACACAGACACACACACACACACATCTACACATTCATTTGAATTGTTAAATATAGTGAAGTGAGAGCAAAATCACCACATTAATGAGTTGGCATTGTAAGGTACAAAGTACCCTATGTAGTAGATTAATTGTGATTTAAGATATGTTTTAACTACATATTATTTGTGCCTCTCGACCTTAACAAAATGAGAAACAAACTGTATCCATTTCATGTAACTCTGTATCATTTTAATTCAATACATCAGTAAACACCCCCTAATCACAGAGAGTAATGCAAATTCCAAGATACTGAAAGCTTACAGCAGCAACTGAAATGACTGCTGACCTGTTCATGATTACTGTTGTGGCGTTAAGAGTTTAATGGCATGTTTCATAGTGTGAGAGACAGACATACAGTATATTCATTACCCAAAGCTCTTTCTCAGACTAACCAACCACCAAATCAAAAAACAAAACTAAATGCCTCTTCTCCACAATGCTTAGTCACCTCATTCCAAGGGGAATTCACTTCATCAGCTTAAGATTACAAGGTGAGATGACCTGAAAATGAATGTCTAAAAACATCTGGATCCAGTCAGTCAGCATTTGTGTGTGTGTGTGTGTCTAAGCATGAAAGAGTGTGTTTGTCCAGCCGTGTGTGGGAGATTACACAACAGAACGCTGGGCAAAATCAGACAAGAGGAGGATCTGCTGGTGTGAAAAACACAGAGGGAGAGAGGAGGAGAAGACTGAGTGAAGAAAGTTGAATTCCATGCTATGCAGGGGGGCGTAGGGTGGTGCTGGGGGCAGTCATTTTTTGGAGAGACGTCACCGTCTTTGAATGGGGTGGGGTGAAATAGCAAAATATTTCAAGAAAACTCTTGCAACAGATCAAGTTCAAAAGTAGGGAGGAGGTCTACACACCACAAACACACAAATATCCCACTTCTTGTCAAAGGGTGGAGCACACTGCAGAAAAATATACACTCATCACAGATGTCAGGATGAGATCTGCACACATTCACCGTTGCCTTAAAGGAAACAGAGCAACTTCCTGAGAGTTTCCCCAACTGTACTCTAGAACCATTAGGATGTTGAAGGAATGTAGGGCGAGAAATTTGGATTACGTTCATTAATACGCAGTACAGGGATTGGGGTCCTCCTTTTGTGCTCTCTGTTGCCAGTTTGACTCATTGTTTGGCATTCTGGTGAACCCCCTCTCACTACGACCTATGCAGGAGGGGGGATGTTGAAATCCCACCAATACTATACACTCATTGACTCAGTCATCCATGAACACCCAATTAGGTTAAAGAGATTTAAACCAAGCTGTTAGTAGAAGGCAATTTTACTTGATTACATGTGTTAGTGAATTGCTGAAGCTGCTTAGTCATTACTGGAAGGTGTGCTAGTGTTCAGCTCTTTGCCGACTCAACAAGTTTTCCAAGCAATACACTCCTAAATATAAAAGTTATGAAGATGGGTTTTCAAAGTAATGCCATTTTTGTTCCCTGAAGAATCTATTTGGTGTTTTTTTTTTTTGTTTTTTTTTTCATAGTGTGTACTGTAGAGTATTTGACTAATCTAAAGTGCCATTTTCCTTTACTGAAAAACTTTGGAGCAGTTCCAGAGTTTCACAGATGCTCAAATTTTGCATGAAAACATCCATGAAAGAACGTTTTTTATCTTACAGCGAATTTGTGCAAATTGCCACCTAAACTGTCCATTGCAATGGATTTTTGGCTTACTTGAGTTTACAAAGTTGCTTACTGATGTTCCCATAAAACATCCATCATAATTTGTATTGTCTCCCATACAAGAGCTAATACAATGCAGCTACACTCCCTGACACACATTCCTATTCCTGCAGTGCTTCCCACAATTCTCTTCCCACAATAACAACTTTGGGATGTTAAATAGTTTCAAATGTGCTTCATATTTTCTATGCTGTATAATTTAAGAAGGCTAGTACTATCTTAGTAGTTAAGTACCATTTATATAATACACACACACAAACACATGCACACACAAAGGCATTGTGTATTCAATAATAATCAATAGCAAAGAATATTGTTGAACAGAAGTAAACAATTAAAAGTTCATTTTTAAACAGGATACATTTAGCTTGTTAGTTTGATTTAATGTTATTTAAAGTTAACTTACACTTCTGAATGCAAGCACAACTGCGGTAACTATTATGTTTAAACATAATTTAATTAAAAAGTGTTAGCTGTAATTACTTTGTGAGGTGTGAATAATTGGATTATAGTAAAAACCATCGCGAGGACTCGTGATCAGGCTAAAAATAAAGGCAGGCTCAAGGATCTCTAAGCTCTTTCAACCTGTTGCTTTACTTCGTCCGTCCCAGTTTTCTGTATCTCTATTTCGCGTTAAAGTGAAAACATGATTAATAACTTACGTGAAAATAGTGTGAATAGAATCCAAAAAGCGTGTAACAAAAACATGATCCAGTTTAGTGCGGGTTAGTTTGCAATCATCTAGTCCATCTTCTCCCGGACTGTTATTCGCTTCATCTCTGTCCGCTGCGCTGGTCAGAATGAGCGGAATGTACCACTTTTCTAAAGGGGGAGGCAGCTCTTCTAGCTAAACTTTAAGTATGTTAAACTGCTTTCGCTGAAGCTGTTTTGATTAAAGCTTTTGCATTTAATTATAAGGTTGCCAACGTAATATTAGAAAGTATTTTATTTAATAGACTCAATCACTGCCTGCCAGATTTCCTAAAGTGGACTCGTCTTTCTGAAAAAATAACGTTATTGTATCAAACGTATTTTTAAAAAAGTGGTTATTGTTATCTTGTTTTAGCTGAGAATGTAATTCAGTGTTAAAAGACTAATAATGCTGAGGAAAAATGAAACTTTCAACAGTAAGTATTTTAAAATCGCTGATTTATTTAGACTGCGTGCAGGTGTATGTAACAATTTAGTTGTAGCTTTGTAAATACACAAATACAAAAAAGAGTACACAACAGGGATGCATGTAATTCATTAATGATAGGCATGGAAAACATATGAAGAGTTCAGATGTAAAAGTGCCGTCTGAAATTCCCATCGAAAATGTTTTTGTTTTTTTTTTTTTGTCTTTTTTTTGTTTTTTTTGCTTAGCTTAGCTTCCTTTGTTTATGTTGATATATTTCACTTTGGGGGACTTTGCCATAAAAGTGATATTACTGAACATACACACAGTAGCCTGATAAAATGTTCATTTTAGAAGACAGGTTCAGATGGCATTTAGAGGTTTTTGTATCTAAACTCTTCATATAGCTATATTTCTGTCACATCAAACAGAAACTAAATCAGAAATGATTCATTCAGGTCAGAAGCATTATTCTGATTAGAATCAGAAGCATTATTTGTCACCTCAGTGATACAACAACACAATTAGATTTAATCAACACAAGAAAGCATTTGTAAAACATTAGAAAGATTAGGACAACATTGTTTTGAACTAACTGCAGAAAAAAAATACACTGAATAGCTACCATCTTTTGAAGCAAGTGAATATCAGACTTCTTATTGATGTCCTTCTTGTAGCAATCCCAATTTTAATGGCTGTCAGAACTGAGTGGTTCATAACCGAACATCCCAGATAGCACACGTACATCTGAAAGATTTAATTCAAACATAGCTTGGTCTGTAAAACATCTGATATTGGAATAAAACTGACATTGCAATATTTAATTTTTCTGCGATACATATTGCGATATTGAGTATATTTTAACAGATTAAATCAATAGCTCTATTTGGAAAGAATTGATATTTAGGGATAATTTTGGATGATAATTGGATGATTTTTCAGTGGAGCACATCTGCATAATGAACCACATCTCATGATAAATACAGTAAAGCAAAGATAGATATTAAATAAATGCTTTACCTGTATTTATTTATTTATTTTTTTGGTAGTCTAACAGTATTCAGGTTCACAAACGGAATAATTACATTAAAACAAATAACACTGTATAATCGTCATTGCATGTATACTGTAAATAAATATAAATAATCTTTCTTAAAGTTATTAAAATTTTCATTTCCTGTGCCTGAATGCTTTTATCGGGCTTGAAATTTGTAAACATGCACAGGCTTGAAAACACATGCTAATTATTCATTTTATGGTAACTTTATGGTTAAACAGCAATTACTCCACAATCATGTGTGTTTTGACCTCCTATTCAACTATAATTCTAATTCTACAATGGAGATCCTGCGATGTGACTATTGCAGATGTGCACATTAGGATATCGATGCTCAAACAATACATTGTGCAGCCCTAATCTGCAGTGTTCAAAGATCTAATATGTCTTTAAAACGCCTGCTAGTAGAAGACTCTAAATTTAAAATATTTTTAAAATGTTTATTTAACATCTAAAAATAGTCATCTAATAGATGTTTTGCAGATGAGCAAACTCTCTAATAAATACGTCCTTCAGATAAAAACACAAATATCAGACTGAAGTCTTGATGTACGTGTGCTATCAGAGGTGTTGATTTTTATATTGATCTGAATGATTTTATCTGTAGCGATCTCTAAGGTCATCACGACTACCTTTTCGGTCATCATACCGTTCTCTTCTGTCATCATACCGATCTCTAAGATCATCACGACTACCTCTACGATCATCATAATGATCTCTACGGTCATCATATTGATCTCTGCGGTCATCATAGCGTTCTCTTAGTTCATCACGACTTCCCCTGCGATCTTCATATCGATCTCTAAGTTCATCACGACTTCCCCTCCGATCCTCGTAGCGATCTCTAAGTTCATCGCGACTTCCTCTGCGATCCTCATAGCGATCTCTAAGTTCATCACGACTTCCTTTGCGATCCTCGTAGCGATCTCTAAGTTCATCACGACTTCCTCTTCGATCCTCGTATCGATCTCTCAGTTCATCACGGCTTCCTCTGCGATCATCATTGTGATCTCTGAGTTCATCGCGGCTTCCTTTGTGATTTTCACGGCCTCTGAAGTCGTCACGGCCACTTCCACTGTCATCATACCGATCTTCAAAATCATCATTTCGGGCCTTGCCAGTTCTCTCGTCAGTGATTGCTATGGTGTCTGTGTTCCTTTCGTCAATATTTTCTAGAGGTGAATTGTCATGGTATTCCACTGCAGGTTTTCTGAGGTAATAAATAAAATATATAAAATATATATACATATATATTTTTTTTAATCTTGAACAGGGGTGACCAAAATATTCCTGGAAATTTACCTTCCTGCAGATTTTAGTTGCAACCCATATCAAACACACCTGTCTGTAATTATTAAGTGCTGTTCAGGTCCTAATTAATAAGTTCAGGTATGTTTAATAAGGGTTGGAGATCAACTCTGCAGCAAGGTAGATCTCCAGAAACAGGGTTGAGCACCCCTGATATAGAACATAGCCTGCAAAAATCGACAATCAATTCAACTGTTACTTTAAGAATATAAATGGTGACCTACTCCATTTGGTACTCTTTAAGCTTCTGTTTTTGTTTGCGTTTGCGGCAGCAGCAGATGATGACTATTAGAAGCACCGCAGCCCCAGCAACACAACCAGCAACAATGCCTATTGTGGCAAGATTCATGGACGCTGTAAAAACAGAAAGAGTAAAAGATTAACTTAAATCAAGCAGAAGTCCTCAGATGTCAAATTAGCTTCACTTTTATATTGTCTTCAAAACGTTTTATGCATCTGTTAGAATAGAAAAAAACACTAGGCTCTATTTTAACAATCTAAGCGCAAAGTCTAAAGCAAATGGCGCAAAAGCATTAACGCCATTTGCTATTTCAAGGACGGAAAAATTCGCTTTGCTTTCTGGTGCATGGTCTAACAGGGTAGTGCTTATTCTTTTAATGAGTTATGGGTGTGTTTTGAGCGTAACGGGCGTCGGGCCATGGCACATTTGCTATTTACATGGTTGACTTTGTAAGTGGAAAAACTGAACACTTCAATAGCGAGTTAAACAGAGCAGCGCGAGGATAAAGAATGAGCCTCCTCAAATCAGCCTCTTTAATTTTTTAAATTTTAGTCTTTACTCTTTTACTTTTTTTGTGGATAAAGAAACAGTGTTGTACACAATCCACTAGACATCCATTAGCCTACATATTTAATTTTATTTGTTAAGTGTAAAGATTTGCTTTAAAATTATTTCTAAATTCAGTTCAGATTCCCAGCAAACGAATATATTAACAATAATAATGAAGTGTGGTCAAAAAACTGAGTTATATCCAAACACACAGCTTATTCTTATGCCCCATATGGTGATACATACGTCTCCAAAACCGACAGATGGACAAATCTAAACTAGTTTTTATTAAAGCAAATATACATATGCATATAATAAATAATACTGTTAATAATAATAATAACATTATACAAATGTAAATTGTCCTGAATAAAAAAAACATGAAGGTATGGAGGTAGTGGTTTTTATATTTATGTAGAAAGTAATAATTTTTGTAACATTTTAATCTTTATTTTTTTCATATGTAAAGATATTTGTGTATTGCTGTACATCCTTTGTGTATTAAGCAATGTGTAAGCGTTTGCACCTTTATAGGTGCTCTGCTTATGCACTCTGCGTAGGACTTTAGACCAGGTTTTAGTTGGTCAATGGTGAGTTCTATTTCAGTTCTTAAAAATAGCAACGTGCCAACAATGCGCCTTAACACACCTCCTTTCTAGACCCGCACACCTATGAGTCCACAAAGTGATACAAATGGATTTGCTGTTTAAACAATGTGGCACAAAAGGTGAAACTACTGTTGTGCTAGTCTGAAAATAGCAATAAATCACACCATACACTTCTTGCGCCTTATTGCGCCGGGTATATGATAGGGCCCTTTATGTCAAGTTTGTCACATTTTTGACCTCTGATAGGCAAGTCGATCACACACTACTTTGTTATTAAAAACTTCAGAAGCTGCAAACAGAAGATGAATGGATTGCAGATATGCCACTTACTGTATGTGTGAGATACTGAAAAAGCAGATGCAGACAGTATAATCGCCATTTAATCTATGTTTTCCAATAGAAAAGGCATATAATAACTGTGCTTTGTTTTGATTAATATTATCATCTTGCTTAATCTTTCTTAAGCCTTCTTAGGGTATAATGGATGCTGGTAAATTGTAATATGGCTTCACATTCTGCAATGTCTTTTTTCCTCACACAACATATAACACATCCAGAATGTAAAAAAATATGCAGTCTACTTGCCATTGCAATTCTGCACAATTTTTAAATGCTGCCAAGATTTAAATGAACTAAAATGTTAAATTGTGATACCTATCGATGTTATATTGGTCATGTGTGTTTGAGTGAAGTTAATTCACAGTCCATCAAATTTAAACTTCAATAAAAACAACAACCCATTCCCAAATGGAACCATCAATTTTATGTAAGTTCACCCTTTCATGACACAATTCTGCTTAAGCTTGGGCAAAACCCTGGTTGAAGCTTACAACGGAGCAGCCACAGCAAAAGTTCACATAAGGGTGCATTGCGCCCACAAAGTTTCATACTTCTGAATGAAAAAAGTTATTAAAACCATCTCAGTAGCTGTTTCCAGTAATGTTCAAATTGCACAAATTAAAATTGCAAATGTAAAAATGTGCCCAATGGAAACATTGCCCAACGTGAAACATAGTTTTTTAGGCAATTTAAAAAAGGAACATACCAACATCCATCATCATAATTTTTGAAAAGGCTTACTGTGAGAGTTTTAAATTCAATTCAATTCAATTCATCTTGATTTCTATAGCGCTTTTACAATGTAGATTGTGTCAAAGCAACTTAACATAAAAGTTCTAGTAAATTGAAACTGTGTCAGTCCACTTTTCAGAAATTCAGTTCAGTTCAGCATGGTTTAATTTTCAGTGCTGAAGGTCCAAACACTGAAGAGCAAATTATTAATGTGCAAATAATAAAAGAAAATGATCACATAACATAGATTAATAGAAATGGCATCATTCTACAATATATTTTTGTTGCCATTTAGAAAATTTTGAAAATTTTGGCACAAATCTGTAATGGAATCCAGGACAACTTAAGCCCAAAGATGACATTAATTTTTACTTATCGGTGAAGGTCCATGCAGTTAGCATAATGTTGAATTTGTCACTAGTTTAGTATAACTCTATCAAATAAAGTATACTTTGAAAAGCTGCATTCATGTGGTAAAATACTGTAAGAAAACGAAGTATATTGTTTGCTTTTAAGTATGCTGTGACCACTATATATCTGAAAAACAATAAGTGCTAATGAAGTATGCCAACTTTAGGCCAACTTTGCAGAATCTTGCTTTTCTTGTTTCCATATTTGCATGAATAGAAATGGAAGTCAACAAAACAAAAAATGTTGCACGATCAGCATACTTGTGCACATTTTGAAATGTCAGTTTTAGCTAGAGGAATCTGCATAAGCTAGTGTTTTGGAATTTATTAAAATAACCAACATAATCTCATGAAAAATATATAACTATTTTTAACAGGAATGATTTTGTCAGTCATGCAGAAATTCATGACTGGTTAAAAATATAAAAGCATGTATAGATCCACGAAGGTCCTAAACAAGTAGATCATACACATTTCTTAAATGTATACTTAATTCTTATAATAGTGTGCTGCACTGTAAAAAGTTTTGCTGCCTTAATTTTTTTTTCATTTTAAAAACTTTTCTAGTCATTTTCATCTCCACACCAATCAAACTGACTAAAAAATTAAGCTAAACCTTTTAAAAGTTATACAATGTAGTTGAAACCTGATCAACTTATTAAAATAAGTTAATAAAATGAGCAACATAAAAATACTTGTCTTGACTTTTTGTCATTACATTTTTTACAGTATGTGTGAACAAACAAACTGCCATGTTGACTTTAAAGATTATTACCAAGACAAAATAACTGAATAAAATAAATCTGAAAATTAATCACCTGAATCATTTTAAACTGAAAATAAGCAGTAAAAGATTAAAATACTTACGAGGCAGAACGGACAATGTCATGTTACATTTAGCTGATCCAACCTTATTGCTTGACAGGCAAATATAGTAACCTGACGTCTCACTTGATACATTGACCAACGACAGAACTCCATCCTCTGTCACACACAAAATAGCATGCATAAACTATCATATAATGGGATGAAGTGTATCAATCGAAGAAAGGACAAAACTTACTCTCAGTGGTTTTGATAGGAAACCCTTGTGGGACATTTTTGACGCTATATCTCTCCCATTTGTATGTAGGTACTGGTGAACCTTCCTCAGAGACACAGGTTAGGCTAATATTGTGTCCGTATTCTGCTGTTCCTACTACTTTACAGACAGGCTGTGATGGTGCAACTGTAGGACAAATAACATTCATTATAGATTAAATGATTATACTATTTCTGTAGGAGTATATTTAGGATTTTGTGACCCTGGACCACAAAACCAATCTTATTGGTTTATAGTTGTGGGTTATATTAACGGTTATATTAAGAGCCAAAATGATACTAGTCGAAAAAAGACAGTGAAGACATTTAGTGAATTTCCCACCGTAAATACATCAGATCTTAAATTTTTGAATGCCCAGATCCAAGTTTCAAATAGTATATTGGGCAAATGTTGTGCTATATCTCAACAAACATCAACAGAAAGCCTATTTATTCAGCTTTTGAATGGTGTATAATCTTCTAGACACGTATGACTGATTTTGTGATTTAGGGTCACAAATTATGTTTGACAAAGGGCCACAGATCTTACCCTGAACCAAAAGAAAAGTAGTGTCTGCTGGTTTGCCTTCGATGTCTCCAGGGATCTGAACATAACATCTAATTTTTCTGCTTTCCTTCTGAGTGACTTGCTTTATTGTTAGCGTTGATGTTTTTGTGGTAAGGTCTGTTTCTATTGAGACTCTGTTTACATATTGAGGATCAATGTCTACTTTATTAGTATTGGAGTAGTAGTTACCAAAAAGGACCTGCAAGGTCAAAAACAAAAGCATTTAAAGGCTCTGTGATTGTTTTTTTTAATTTTTTTATTATTGACATGATTCATATGACAGTGTTGGGGGAAGTTACTTTTGAAAGTAATGCATTACAATATTGAGTTACTTAGCCAAAAAAGTAACTAATTGCGTTTTATGGAAATTAATGCGTTATTTTACTTTTGAGTTACTTTTGCATTACTTTTTTTTACCTACCTGAGGTTTGATCCCTTTCAGATTTGCAGCAGTTTTTTTATAGAGATGCTCTGCATTTAACAACCACCTGTATAACCTACACCTTCATTTTTCTTTTAAAAAATGTAGGATAAAATTACACTTTGAGAACTTTCTGAACCCAGGGCTATACATGAAAGCATGCAAAGTAATGTGTTTGCTACCTTTGAATGTTTCGTGTTTTTATTAGTTAGGTAAATACACTGTCCATTGAGATAAAGACTGCAATAAAGCCTATTATAGTGCTAACATGAAATAATTTATATTAAGGGAACAACAAGTTCTAAACTTTTAAAATCAACCCAGGCTCATTCTGAAAACGTACCTCTATATACATTTCTGGAGACTGCGAAATACATCCCAGGGGGAATGTTTTTTTGCAGTTTTTGTTTTTGCGAATCCATCAGATGCCGATGTGTAAGCTTTTTAAGATCTCAAATTTTTTTCGCGAATGCCATTCGCACCTGCTGTTCTCACATAAACCCACCAGAGGTCGCTGTTGACTGACTGAATGACTGACCGATCGACTGACCCACCCTCCTTCCCTAAACCCAACCAATTTTATTGATTGACCCACCCACTTCTCTAAACCCAACCAACAATTTTCAAAAGCAATAAAGAAAAAGAAAAGCCATTGTCTGATGTTTACCACATTTTCAGATTTTAACACATTTTCGCCCAGTTATTTACTTGTTTATTTTTTTCTTTGGATTCTGTTTTTGCCTTACCTGCTTTCTAAAGTTACTTTTGTTAGTAAACAAACTCGAACCCTGTCATCGTAGTCAACTCCTCTCTGCATCTCAAGTCCGCCAACGTACATGGTGAGCTAACGGGAAAAACTGGCAACAGTGGGAAAGCTGTCCATACGGAGCTAAGTGGTCAACTGGTAAGCGCGAAAAGGAATAACGTCATACCTCCCTGTAGTGTTCGTTTAAAAAAATTAAATGCAGCCATATGTACCTCTGGCTACATAATTCACGTAATCCTATATTCTGAGTTATTCAGTTAGTAGAACAGTACGCTGACTCATCTGCTGTGAAAAAAAAGACCTGATGACGATGATGAGTGCGAGCCCACTGTCTGTTACCTTGCAGCATGCTCTCATTAAGTGTGAGTGATTCAACCTGACTCTAAGGTAATTTTTATTTTGAAATATATTTTTTAAAAGCTAATTAGGGTAAAAACTAAAATAATATTACTTATTTTTAAAAGTAATGCGTTACTTTACTTGTTATTTAAAAAAAAGTAATATTATTACGTAATGCACATTAATTATAATGTGTTACCCCCAACACTGCTCATATGGATAGTGATGTTTACCAGTACAGTCAATAATTCGACCATCATTTTTCAGGCATACCTTGTCTCCAGATGTCTCATCAGCGTCACCAATCCATGTTACAATGATAAGATCATTTACTGGTTTCTTAGGTTTAAAATTACACGTCAGTCTGACATCATCACCTCTGGCAACCTCCATGGATGCTTCACTCATTGTCACTTCCAGTCCAAAAGTAGCCGACATCACTATGAGGCAGAGAGAGAACTGTGAGTATCAGAGTTTACTCATTTTACTGAATGCAGACACATTTTTCAGACTAATAAAAACTCTAAATCATGCCTTATGGACATTAAACATGATTTATTAGCGTGGCTTTTGGTGCATTGGTACCATTTATTACATACATAACTAAAAGCTTTACTACAAATACTATGGTTATGTTATCTATTATTAGTGAAACAAACATGGTGATTATAAATTTTAACTTTAATTAATTTTGAATTAAAGCAGTGGTTATTTTTATAAGCGAAGAAATTATGAGATGATAATATTTGGTATATATTGAACAGTATTTAATATTTTATTTTACTTAATTTAAAATTAATATTCTTGGTAACAATATTGCAAATCTACATTCAAATTATATTACAGAAGTTAACCAGCAACACAAATGGTTTGATTATATTAGATATTCTAATAATCAAATCATTTCATGATATCCTTATAAGTAGGTATTATTATTGATAATAAATTAATTTTTAATGAAAATACTGAAAAGACTATGTAGGACTGGCCAATAAAAACTTTATTGCCTGTGAAAATTATCAAAGTTTAGTACTGATAGGATGGTGGCATTTTAAAAATCAATTGATGTTTATTTCTATAGCGCTTTTACAATGTAGATTGTGTCAAAGCAGCTTCACATAGAAGTTGTAGTAAATTGAAACTATGACAGTCCAACTTTCAAAGTTGAATTTCAGTTTAGTTCACTTCATGGTTTAAATTTCACTGCTAAAAGTTCAAACCCTGTAGAGCAAATCCATTGATTTGCAGCTCCACAAGTCAAAACCAAGCAAGCCAGGGGCGACAGTGGCAAGTAACAAAACTTCACCAATTGACGAAGTGAAGTTCCATGCTCTGTTGGGCACAACCATTGTTCCTCTGGCCAAACCTTTTTTTATAAGGCCTAAATAGAATCCATTTTAACTATGTCATTGATTTGTTGGTTTGCTTTTTTAAAAGTAAAACAGAAGAACTCACTGTCTAAGGTTTTAATACTTGCAGTAAAGTATTGGGGATAAAAGTGTCAGGGTTATCCTATTTGTATGAAATCCAGGTCTTAAAGAAAGCCCATCAGATTACATCTGATATATACCATCCTCTTTTTGATTCATTTCAAATCCTTCCCCCAGGATCTTGGTATTGAGTTCTTTTGGCAAGGACCAACAGATTTAAATTTTAATTTGTTTCTTGTGTGATCGATTTGCTGAATTTTAATGGGAAGGGATAGTTGTTCTTTTTAGCACTATTAATGATGTTTAATGTTTGTCTTAAGTGTTTGGTGTGATATATGAGTTGTAAATCTATTATGCTGCAGAACAAATCGCCCCCAAAAGGGGACAGTAAAGTTTACAGTAACAGCAGTTGTGTAAAGTAAGAAATTACAAATACTCCAATTACTGTAATTGAGTAGTTTTCTTGAGAAATAGTAATTTACTGAGTAGTTTTAAAGATTACTTTTTAGTGCAGTATTGTTACTTTTACTCCACTACTTTCCTTTAACCTGCACTCACTACTTTATCTTTTCTTGTCTATGGGAATTAGAAAAATCAGTGTTGTGATTCCTGTCCAATCAAATCACACATATAAGGTTAATCGCCTCATAATAAGCTACTTCAAGATATGGGCAATTTATAATTGCAGCAAACTGTTTGAAAGCATTGAAAGTGTCCAAAAAGACGTCCAAAATCTTTACACGCATTGACCCAGAGACTGTTTAGATGCATGTCACTGATGAGAAGATGACAGATGTTTACTGTATAATACTGAAAGGGCCTTAAACCCAGCAGGCACAAGACATCAGCATGACATTAGATTGATCTTGTACCCCAACGTCATGGGGATGCATTTTGCTTGGAAATGAAAATCGGGTTGACCTCAGAAGTCAACGTCAGGCCAACGTCAATGTCTAATCTAAAAATCAACCAAATGTCAACGTATAAGGATGTTACAGCTTGACATTGTGTGGATGTTATCACTATGATTTTTATCAGATGTTGAGTTTTGGTTGCCAAACCTGACAAATAAATGTCAGTATTTGACGTCAATATGGCGTTGGTTTAAGATGTTGGCTCGACATTGGATTTTGGTCACTTTCTAACAACGTAAAATCAACCAAATATCAACATCATTTGATGCCGTTATTGGACATTAAAATAACATCCTTAGACGTTGGCTAAACATTGAATTTTAGTCACCTGACATCACAACCTAAATCTAATCTAATATTAATGTCTTATCACATTATGTTATGCTGTGGGCCTGCTGGGCAATAACTAAATACACTACAGAATATTACGTTTACACACATCAACAAGTTACATGTAAATGCATCAGCTTTTTGAAGCGTAATACTCTCTACTCTTGTGTAGTTTTGAAAGGGCTACTTTTTGCTCATACTTTGAATCAGAATTATTAGCCCCCTTCGAATTTTTTTCCTTCTTTTCTAAATATTTTCCAAGGAAGTTTTCACAGTGTATCTAATAATATTTTTTCTTCTGGAAAAAGTCTTGTTTGTTTGATTTTACCTACATTAAAAGCAGTTTTTAATTTTTTAAACACTATTTTAGGGACAAAATTATAGTCCCCTTTAAGCTATATTTTTCTCAATAATCTACAGAACAAACCATCGTTATACAATAACTTGCCTAATTACCCCAACCTGCCTAGTAAACCTGATTAACCTAGTTAAGCTTTTAAATGTCACTTTAAGCTGTAGAAGTTTCTTGAAAAATATCTAGTCAAATATTATTTACTGTCATCATGGCAAAAATAAAAATAAATCAGTTATTAGAAATGAGTTATTAAAACTATTATGTTTAGAAATGTGTTGAAAAAATCTTCCCTCCGTTAAACAGAAATTAGGGGAAAAATAAACAGGAGGGCTAATAATTCAGGGGGGCTAATAATTCTGACATCAACTGTATGCAAACTAATGTAAGAAGCAAAAGGATTAAAAATGTAATACTCAAATGCCACATGTAACAACAAATGGCAAGAAAACAACTGACTTATACATGCAACACAATGTCATTGATTTGATCTTGCCTACTGTACTCTGTGCAAACAGCAAGAAACTGACTTCCTCACCTGAGATTAAACATAGGCTGCAAAAAACCAGCTTCCAGTTGGTCATTTTGTCGATGTCCAGTCAATCTTCAATAGATGGTGGTCTAATATAGATTGTTTTTAATAGTTTTCCTTATAAACGTATCTCATAGATTCCGTCTGTTCATCGAAACGCCTTTCCTCCCCACCTTTGTCTACCGCACCTTTTCTGCACTTTGGACTTTTGCTTATCCTCTTCCTCAAAGTGGTCGAAACAAAATGGCAAGTGTGATGTCACAACAGTCACGTTATGATGAGTCAATGCTGGAAAATGAAATGATTAGCAAAAGGATGTTTACATAGACAAACAGTAAGGGCATCATTTAATGTTTACACTTTTAGTTCTGAACTTCCATCTACAGGTGAAGTCAGAATTATTAGTCAGAAATCCCCCCCCCCCCAGATTTCTTCCGCACATTTCTAAACATAATAGTTTAATAACTTATTTTTAGTAACTGATTTATTTTATCTTTGCCATGATGACAGTAATTAATATTTGACTAGATATTTTTCAAGACACTTCTATACAGTTTAAAGTGACATTTAAAGGCTTAACTAGGTTAGTTAAGTTAACTAGGCAGGTTAGGGGAATTAGGCAATTTATTGTATAGCAATGGTTTGTACACAATAGAAAAAAATAGCTTAAAGGGCTAATAATTTTGACCTTAAAATTGTTCTTAAAAAATTTAAAACTGCTTTTATTCTAGCTGAAATAAAACAAATAAGACTTTCTCCAGAAGACAAAATATTATCAGAAATATGGTGAAAATTTCTTTGCTCTGTTAAACATAATTTGGGAACTATTTAAAAAAGAAAAGAAAATTCAGAGGGGGCTAATAATTCTGATTGCAACTGTATTTTATTCAGGATTACTTTTGTAAAACATCACTTTTTTTTTTTTTTTAAACACTCAAACATTAAGCGCTACTGTTTTATGATTAACCCTTTGATGCACAAGTTATATACCCCTTCTAATGCTCAACATGACCCATATTAATTTTCTATGTCATTTCCTTCCTCCCTAGGCATTATATATTGACTGATCCATAAGTTTCAAAATATATTTTTTTCATTTACCACAAATGAATGATTCATTTTCTTAGGTTTTGTATTACTACATCAATTTTACACACATGGGCAAAAAATGACCCATCTGTAAAAAACATGAAAAAAGTATAAATAAATAAAATCATTAAAATAAATAACACATGTTTAAGCAATAATTAAGACAAACACATTTAAGATCTGGAATATGTTTATTTACCATTTTTCCACACATATCAATCTCTGATAAAGGATATCAAACTGAAATTATTATCAGTTATTGGTTGTAGTGCAACTGTAGTGCATTTGCCTAAATAAAAAAACAAAAAACTGACAAAATAAAATTACACAGAAACAATGCCATCCCATAATGCCATCTTAGTGCTTACATTCCTCACAAATGACACATTTATGCTTGCACACAGGCCTCTTGCACATAGAACACCAGCTATTGACTGGGCAGATCTTTCACCTCTTCCTCGTTGATTGTCCTGCCTGAGGTCCTCATGTGGCAGGGTGATGGCTGTTTTGTTTTATTCCACATCTTCCCATTGCCTCTGTATTGTGGTTTTGAATATGGTGTGTGTCCTCCAGGTGCCTCTTCATGTAGCAAGATCTTTGACCAGCTCTTTGATAAATTGCTGTCGTGTATTGGTCGCACCACCTACATAATTAGGGTGTTTTGCAAAGTTGGTGTAGGCATTTAGGGTGGCCACGTCCAGCATCCAGCACCATGGGCCTTGTGGCTTCTTGCTCTACCCTGAGTAGGGTTATGCTCACTCCTGTAATACCTCTTATTATTTGTCTACTTAGTCCAGCAACTCCAGATTGACCCAGTGGCACTATAGATCTAGTGTAGATCATCAGCATCAAATTTTTCAGTCTGTGAATCAGAAAGAGGAGACTTCCATCATCTTTCTCATCCTGCAGCACCTCTACAGCCATTTCAGCCATAAATATAGAATGACTGGGATGAGCCATACTAGCACTCTGCATAAAAAAAATCCAAAGCACAAGAATATCTGTCTGTCTGTCTATCTATCTATCTATCTATCTATCTATCTATCTATCTATCTATCTATCTATCTATCTATCTATCTATCTATCTATCTATCTATCTATCTATCTATCTATCTATCTATCTATCTATCTATCTATCATCTATCTATCTATCTATCTATCTATCTATCTATCTATCTATCTATCTATCTATCTATCATCTATCTATCTATCTATCTATCTATCTATCTATCTGTCTGTCTGTCTGTCTGTCTGTCTGTCTGTCTGTCTGTCTGTCTGTCTGTCTCTCTGTCTCTCAGTCTGTCTCTCAGTCTATGTCTATCTGTCTATCTGTCTATCTATCTATCTATCTATCTATCTATCTATCTATCTATCTATCTATCTATCTATCTATCTATCTATCTATCTATCTATCTGTCTGTCTGTCGGTCTGTCTGTCTCTCAGTCTATCTATGTCTATCTGTCTTTCTATCTATCTATCTATCTATATATCTATCTATCTATCTATCTATCTATCTATCTATCTATCTATCTATCTATCTATCTATCTATCTATCTATCTATCTATCTATCTATCTATCTATCTATCTATCTATCTATCTGTCTGTCTGTCTGTCTGTCTGTCTCTCAGTCTGTCTCTCAGTCTATGTCTATCTGTCTATCTGTCTATCTATCTATCTATCTATCTATCTATCTATCTATCTATCTATCTATCTATCTATCTATCTATCTATATATCTATCTATCTATCTATCTATCTATCTATCTATCTATCTATCTATCTATCTATCTATCTATCTATCTATCTGTCTGTCGGTCTGTCTGTCTCTCAGTCTATCTATGTCTATCTGTCTTTCTATCTATCTATCTATCTATCTATCTATCTATCTATCTATCTATCTATCTATCTATCTATCTATCTATCTATCTATCTATCTATCTATCTATCTATCTATCATCTATCTATCTATCTATCTATCTATCTATCTATCTATCTATCTATCTGTCTGTCTGTCTATCTGTCTGTCGGTCTGTCTGTCTCTCAGTCTATCTATGTCTATCTGTCTTTCTATCTATCTATCTATCTATCTATCTATCTATCTATCTATCTATCTATCTATCTATCTATCTATCTATCTATCTATCTATCTATCTATCTATCTATCTGTCTGTCTGTCTGTCTGTCTGTCTGTCTCTCAGTCTATCTATGTCTGTCTGTCTATCTATCTATCTATCTATCTATCTATCTATCTATCTATCTATCTATCTATCTATCTATCTATCTATCTATCTATCTATCTATCTATCTATCTATCTATCTATCTATCTATCTGTCTGTCGGTCTGTCTGTCTCTCAGTCTATCTATGTCTGTCTGTCTATCATCTATCTATCTATCTATCTATCTATCTATCTATCTATCTATCTATCTATCTATCTATCTATCTATCTATCTATCTATCTATCTGTCTGTCTGTCTGTCTGTCTGTCTGTCTGTCTGTCTCTCTGTCTCTCAGTCTGTCTCTCAGTCTATGTCTATCTGTCTATCTATCTATCTATCTATCTATCTATCTATCTATCTATCTATCTATCTATCTATCTATCTATCTATCTATCTATCTATCTATCTATCTATCTATCTATCTATCTGTCTGTCGGTCTGTCTGTCTCTCAGTCTATCTGTCTATCTGTCTTTCTTTCTATCTATCTATCTATCTATCTATCTATCTATCTATCTATCTATCTATCTATCTATCTATCTATCTATCTATCTATCTATCTGTCTGTCTGTCTGTCTGTCTGTCTGTCTGTCTGTCTGTCTATCATCTATCTATCTATCTATCTATCTATCTATCTATCTATCTATCTATCTATCTATCTATCTATCTATCTATCTATCTATCTATCTATCTATCTATCTGTCTGTCGGTCTGTCTGTCTGTCTGTCTGTCTCTCAGTCTATCTTTGTCTATCTATCTATCTATCTATCTATCTATCTATCTATCTATCTATCTATCTATCTATCTATCTATCTATCTATCTATCTATCTATCTATCTATCTATCTATCTATCTATCTATCTATCTGTCGGTCTGTCTGTCTGTCTGTCTGTCTCTCAGTCTATCTTTGTCTATCCATCTATCTATCTATCTATCTATCTATCTATCTATCTATCTATCTATCTATCTATCTATCTATCTATCTATCTATCTATCTATCTATCTATCTATCTGTCTGTCGGTCTGTCTGTCTCTCAGTCTATCTATGTCGATCTGTCTTTTTATCTATCTATCTATCTATCTATCTATCTATCTATCTATCTATCTATCTATCTATCTATCTATCTATCTATCTATCTATCTATCTATCTATCTATCTGTCTGTCTGTCTGTCTGTCTGTCTGTCTGTCTATCATCTATCTATCTATCTATCTATCTATCTATCTATCTATCTATCTATCTATCTATCTATCTATCTATCTATCTATCTATCTATCTGTCTGTCGGTCTGTCTGTCTCTCAGTCTATCTATGTCTATCTGTCTTTTTATCTATCTATCTATCTATCTATCTATCTATCTATCTATCTATCTATCTATCTATCTATCTATCTATCTGTCTGTCTGTCTGTCTGTCTGTCTGTCTGTCTGTCTGTCTGTCTGTCTGTCTGTCTGTCTGTCTGTCTATCATCTATCTATCTATCTATCTATCTATCTATCTATCTATCTATCTATCTATCTATCTATCTATCTATCTATCTATCTATCTATCACAGAATGTATCTTTCTATCTATAAAATAAATATGTATATATGTAAACTTATTTATATGTATTTTTTACTACAAATTTATCACATCCTATGTCACTGGGGGAAAACGGAATCTGTTAAGGTTTTCAGTAAATTGTTTTGTAAATTAAATAAAGTAAATTGTCATTTATTAGGCAAAAAAAACTGGCCAGCACATTCAACTGTCTTGTCAGAATTTGTTCATTCGAATAATAACATTAAAACATTTAAACATAATAATAATAATTTTCTAGCCTCTCTTGTAAAAAGTACATTTAAAAATTCATGGATAACAACAAAAGCCTAATTAGTATTTACAATTTAATTTTCGAAAATTTC